CCCCAAACCCCACCTTCGACTTGGATATAATGGGTTTGTTTAGTTTGGTTATTCTTATGCTTCATTTCTATTTATGAAGTTGTGGCTTAGGATTCCTCTGGAGAGGTCTGATGATGATGATGCTGTGAATGGAACTTCTGACGGCATGGTGAGTGATCTCTTATTTTTATAGGAACCAGATTGAGGAACTCCTGTAACCTTCTGTTCTCCCATTCTATTGCTTTCAGCATATATGCACCCATCTTGGATAGTTAGATCTCCATTGTCCTGGTCGCTTACAAGGAAGAGAAACAATCTGCTCTGTAACATTTATCATTCTTTCTATTCTTCATGGAACTTAGCCCCTGCCCCTTCTATTTCTTAGTTAGAGAGTGAATCTATGAATCTAAAGCTGCTGTCTAATTGATGCTTTGGATTCCCTCTTTTGACCAAAACCAACTGATAATTTGGAATTAGGTCAGTACCAGGGGACATGATTAGGAGCTCCTTTTGGCCTGTATAACAGAATGAAGTACTGTTGTTACCTTGTGCTTTTAATGGCGGATTATGAACTGAGAGTTTTTCTTCCTTATCTTTTCCTGAAAATGTGATGCTTCATTATTTAGTTTTATTCAAAATATGTTTCTACTTTTTTGTATATATTTACATTATTGTTTTATTTGTGGCCCCACAGGCAGTAGAGCTTACTGACTCTTGGGAACTGTGGAATTCTTTCCGTGTTTTATGTGAACATCACAGCCAGCTATCAATTGCCCTTGATGTTCTGTGAGTAGATCAGATTAAAATTGTCTTTGATATGGTTTATATGCATTAATTATGTGGATTATGCTAATTGCACGCAAGACCTCAGGCTTCTCTTGGTATAGTTATTGGTGACCTTCAGTAATTGAACTTTCACAAATATTGATTTTAAATTACTTTATGTAATGTTAGGTCTTCGCTACCTTCTGCAAATTCAATTGGGCGTTGGTTTGGAGAGCCTGTCAAAGCAGCCATTGTTCATACTGATGTACCCATACTCAAACAGTTTTCATTCTTCTCTTTTTAAGATATCAAGTTGAATCTTTGTATTTCAAATTAACACTTCTCTCAACTACTTCAGACTTTCATTACGAATGCACGGGGATACCCGTGTCTATCCAAGCGTCATCAGAACCTGCTGAGCCGTTTCTTTTACTATTCAATCCAGGTAAATAATTGATTTTTGCTATAGTTGTATACTTATCTTGTTGGTGTAGTTATATGTTGGTCTTTCTCAGGGACAAACAAATTGTAGGAGCTTAACCTTTCCCTTGATAATATGTTTTTTTAGTTTGGTTCTCAAATCTCCACATAAGAATATGGGTAACTGTTACGAGATTTATATAGAATAAATCTCTCAGACTGCTAACAAAT